CCCCCCCCCCGTTCATGTACGCGCATGCTCTCTCTCTCAAAATAAATAAGTAAACTTTTAAAAAAGTTTAAAAAATAAAAATAAATAAAATGAGAGAGATGTAGAGAATATTTGATTTTTTACTTGTCTTTTGGAGGGAACACAATTGTCCCTTAAAAACAGTTCATTAAGTCAATAAATGCCATGGTGGATCCAAAAATCCCGACAAAGAAATAAAAGTTTTAAGCAGTAACTTTCTGTCAGCATAAAGACCATTATTACATGTAATCTTTGACTAGAACTCTAACAGCTCTTTTTATATACATTTTGGTGATTGTGGATAGTTTCATTGCATGAACTCTTCTGTTTAACCGAGGGTCACAGTGTCCTAGGTGACACTTGCATATATTTGTGTCCCTTCTTGTGATTCCACAGAAATACTTATGGGTACCTTTCAAAAATGCTGTGACTTCACTAATTTATTTTTTACTTATTTATTTATTTGTTTATTATTTTTTTAAGTAGGTTCCACACCCAATGTGGGGCTTAAACTCACGACTCTGAGATCAAGGGCCGCATGTTCTACCAACTTGAGTCAGCCAGGTGTCCCAACTTGGCCTACTATTATTAATGCTAACAACATTGCTGGGGCACCTGGATGACTCAGTTTGTTAAGCAACCAGCTTCGGCTCAGGTCACGATCTCCCAGTCGGTAAGTTCAAGCCCTGCTTGGGGCTCTGTGCTGATAGCTCAGAGCCTGGAGCCTGTTTCAGATTCTGTGTCTCCCTCTGTCTTTGCCCCTCCCCTACTCATACTCTGTCTCTCTCTCTCAAAAATAAACATTAAAAAATTTTTTTAATACTATCAACATTGTCATCTTAAGATATTTTGTAATATATAATTTTTTTTAAGTTTTTATTTACTCATTTATTTTGAGAGAGACAGAGTCCAAGCGAGCAGGGAGGGGCAGAGAGAGAGGGAAACAGAATCCCAAGAAGGCTCCGCACTGTCTGTGCAGAGCCCTGATGTGGGACTCAACCTCATGAAATCATGAGATTATGACCTGAGCTGAAATCAAGAATTGGACGTGTAACCGACTGAGCCACCCAAGCGCCCCCATAATATGTAATTTTAAAGTAATGTTTATCATTAAAGCACTTCAGGTTTGTGGAAGAAAATTTGGCTGAAATTGAAGCATATGAAAAAATAAAAATCACACATACTCTAATCATGCCACCCAGAGATAATCAGAATATTTGGTTTATTCTAGATATGTACATATCTGGCTTAATATTCTAAATATTATTTGTAAAAATTAAGATATAATTTACATACCATAAAATCCACCATTTGAAGTATACAGTTCAGTGATTTTTAGCATATTCACAAAGTTGTGCAACCATTATCACTGTCTAATTCCAAACATTTTTATCACCGCAAAAAGCTGTTCTTATTATTTAGAAAGATTTTCATATCAGTGCAGAGAATTATTTACGAGCCATGTTCCCAGACTCCAGTCAAGGGTCAATCTGGCAAGCAGGACTTTCTAAGGATGGGCAGTCTCAGGCCTGCTGTGCTGATTCTTTTCTGCACAGTAGTTTTGTAGCATTCAGGATTCTAGGCCCTCCTAAAGTTATATGTGCTGCAAATACCTTTTGCTACTCTACTCCTTTATCTTTCACTCTCCTTATGGTAGCTTTTTTTCTTTATGATATCTTTTGATAAACAGATGGTTTTCATTTTAATGTAGCCAACTCCAACTCTATTATCTTTTCCCCTTTATGGTTAATGTTTCTTGTATTTTTTATTTTTAAATGTTTATTTTTTGAGAGAGGGAGGAGGTGCAGAGAGAGAGGGAGACAGAGGATCTGAAGCAGTCTCCATGCTGACAGCAGAGAGCCCACGGCGGGGCTTAAATTCATGAACTGTGAGATCATGACCTGAGCCGAAGTTGAGTTAACCAGCTGAGCCACCCAGACACCTCTCTTGTATCTTTGTAGAGAAATCCTCCCCTACTCCAAAGTCATAAGTTTATATATACCTTTATTGTTTCTTAAATTTTTAGTTATGTCATTTACATGTATATCTGTAATCCACCTGGAATTGAGTTTTTATAGACAGTATGAGTAGGCAACCAGTTTCATTTTTTCCCTTGTATATATAAGCAATTATTCCAGCATAAAAGGCTTTTGTTTCCCCACTGCTGTGCAGTGCAAACTCTTTCACATATCAAGTAATCATACATGTGTGTATCTGTTTCTAGAATTTCTTTTCTATTCTGTTTGGACTTTCTGTGTATCCCTATCTTAATTACTATAGCTCTATTTTAAGTCTTATAAGTTTATCTGACAGGACAGTTTCTCTCATTATTCTCGTGTGGGAGTGCTTGGCTATTCTAGGCCCTTTGTACTTCCATATAAATTTTAGTATCAGTTCCTCAAATCTGTTTGTTTTTTTGTCAATTCTGTTTTTAAAAATAATGTATGATTCCACTTATATGAGGTACTTAGAGTAGTCAAAATAATAAAAGATGGAAAGTATAATGGTGTGCCTAGGGCTAGGGAAGTGGAGAATGGGGAGTTGTTTTTCTTTTTTTTAATGTTTATTTTTGAGAGAGAGAGAGAGAGAGAGCGCACGCATGAGTGGGGGAGGGTCAAAGGGAGAGGGGGACACAGAATCCCAGGCAGGCTCCAGGCTTCAAACTATCAGCAGAGAGCCTGATGTGGGGCTTGAACCCACAGACCTTGCAATCATGACCTGGGCCTAAGTCAGCCGCTAAGCCTACTGAGCCACCCAAGCGCCCCAGGGAGTTATTGTTTAAATCAGGATAGTGTTTCAGTTTTACAAGATGTAAAGAGTTATAGGGGGATGGTGGTGATGACTGCACAAAAATGTGAATGTGTTTCACATTACTGAACTCTACACTTAAAAATGGTTAAGATGGTAAATTTTATGTTACTTGTATTTTAGCACAATAAAAAAGAAAACGTGTTTCAAATTGGGATCACATTAAATCTACAAATCAGTTTGGGGATAATCGTCTTTACGTTGACTCTTCTAATTCATGAATGTGATATCTCTTCATTTACTTAGGTATTCCTTAATTTAAAATTTTATCTAGGGGCACCTAGTGCAGTTGGTTAAGCATCAGACTCTTGATTTTGGCTCAGGTCATGATCTCACAGTTCGTGAGTTTGAGCCCCACATTGGTCTCTGTGCTGACAGCACGGAGGCTGCTTGGGATTCTCTCTTCTTCTCTCTCTGCCCCACCTCACCTCACATGAGCTCTTGCTTTCTCTCTCAAAAATAAATAATGTTAAAAAAATAAAACTCTATTTAAATGAAGTGTATAAATTTTATCTGTAGATGTATTGTACAATCTTTGATTAGATTTAATTCTAGGTATAGTATTTTTTAAAATTCTATTTTAAGTGGTATCTTTTTAGAAATTTTGGGGCACCTGGGTGGCTCAGTCGGTTAAGCGTCTGACTTCAGCTCGGGTCATGCTTTCATGGTTTGTGAGTTTGAGCCCCGCATCAGGCTCTGTGCTGCCAGCTCAGAGTTTGGAGCCTGCTTCAGATTCTGTGTCTCCCGCTCTCTCTGCCCCTCCCCTGCTCACACTCTGTCTCCACCTCTCAAAAATAAACAAACATTGAAAAAAATTACAAAAAAAAAAAAAAGAAGAAGAAGAAATTTTATTTTCTGTTTGTTGCTAGATAAGGATTGCATTAAAACTCAAATTGTACCAGAGCTAGCTATCCAAACTAATGCATGAAAAAATATAGAAGTGTTAAAATATAAATTTCATACTCAATAATTACATGGATTATTTGGGTGGTAGAATTGGAAATAGATAATAGGGAAATTATGCCTTTGTTTCATTAAGTGGACTTTAATAAATGAAAGTGCTATTGATTTATAATAACACTAGGCAAATGAATTTTATTGTTTTTATTTTTTTTCTGGGCAAATGAATTTTAATGAATAGTAAAAAATCAGACAATAGTTGAATCTCTGATAACATGAATACTACTGAGTATTGTATTATGGTTCTAGGCTATTAGCATTACTAAACCTTCTGATATGTGTTTCTTTTATTGAACTCAGGTGAGAAGGATTCAATGATTTTTGACTGTACTGAATGCTATGATCCGGTTACTAAACAGTGGACAACTGTAGCTTCAATGAATCACCCCCGCTGTGGCTTGGGAGTGTGTGTGTGTTATGGGGCTATCTATGCTTTGGGTAATTATGCTGTCCAGTTCAGTTTAAGGATATCTAGTATTATTTTAATTTTTAGATTCTGATTACATTAGAAATTTTCCTTCCCTCCTATAAGAAACTTATGCCTTTTCAGCTTTATAAATTTTTATTTTCAAAATTGAATTATGTAGAGAATATTGTCAAGTATAGAGCTCTTAGAAGGAGAGGGGGATAAAGTATAGATGAGATAGATATCCAGTGGAGCATTTTAAATCTTCACATTTTAAATTTGGGCAACCATTCTGAATATGCAGAAGTTGTTTTAAGAGGTAGTTTTGTAAAGTACCATATTTCTTAAGCAATATGGGTTTGTTTTTGTTTTGTTTTTTAAATGTCTAATGAAAACTAAGCAGAGAGTTAAGATCCATATAGTCAGATTCTAACTTTTCATATGATCTTGGACAAATCATTGATAATGTGCTAATCATTCACAATGTAAATCTGCTCCATATGATAATCATTCACAATATAAAGTTGTTTGCTAAGGTGTTTTTCATAAATAAGACTCCTTTATCCAGAAATAACATTTTCTATTTGGTTACAGGTGGATGGGTTGGAGCTGAGATAGGGAACACCATTGAACGATTTGATCCTGATGAAAATAAATGGGAAGTAGTTGGCAACATGGCTATGTCACGCTACTACTTTGGGTGTTGTGAAATGCAAGGTAATTGCTTTCTAAAAACTTTTTCCTGGGGCGCCTGGGTGGCGCAGTCGGTTAAGCGTCCGACTTCAGCCAGGTCACGATCTTGCGGTCCGTGAGTTCGAGCCCAGCGTCAGGCTCTGGGCTGATGGCTCAGAGCCTGGAGCCTGTTTCCGATTCTGTGTCTCCCTCTCTCTCTGCCCCTCCCCCGTTCATGCTCTGTCTCTCTCTGTCCCAAAAATAAATAAACGTTGAAAAAAAAAATTTAAAAAAATAAAAAACTTTTTCCTGAAGAAATATTTTTGAAAAAAAGAAACTTGAGGCTTTATTTTCACAAGAGTATATTTTATGTCTGTTAATATTGAATGGTTGACACTAACAGTATTGAAGTTTTGCTTTTAAATGTTTTATATGTTTTAACCTCTTAGGTCCTTATTTCTGTATTGCCAAAATAATCATTTTTTCCAAAATAAACAAAACTAGAATTAAAAATTACAGATAGGCACAAATACCTAACTAGCAAAATAAACATTTGAACCTTCATCTTTGTCATTTTCTCTCCCATGCAGTCCTTAGTATTTCTAAGTAGGAAGAGGATATAAAAAATGATCTTCACTGTCTCTTTTGGCTTTTTCAGTGTTTTCTCACAGGGCACATTGTGATTCAATCCATACAGAATATAATGCTATGACAGATTTGAAAAATGTTGTACTGCATATTAAAATGGTACACAAACATTATTTTAATTGTCTACTATATCCTGAGAAGTAGTTGGTAAGCACTCCAAATTCTTTGTCCAGAGTTGGAGAGCAGATTTATATGTACCTGTAGAGTAATGAGCAGTCTGCTCATTGTTACGATAACTCAACCAGCTGTTCCCAGATCAAGTTCTTTCTGTTTTGTGAGTACCTTCTCAGACTTTCACTAGCATTTAGATGTTCAGATTACATGGTACAGACTATATTGTGTAATATTATAGTGTTCTCTAATTGTTTTGTATTTATTACTTTCATTTTCCCATGCAAATCAGGTGTTCTGAGACTAAGTTTCCAGTGTGGAGGTAGGGGGAAGTTTCCCTCCTACTAACAAGTGGTTTTCAGAACACCAACTGGGTGTTGGAGAATTCACCTCATTTCTAACACTATGTACCCATACCTGGAGATAGCCTCAAATTCCACAGATTGAAGGCTCAGTCCTATAAGACACTCATCCTTACCAGGCTCTTACCTGTGCTTCTGATGGACTGGCTATAGATTGGAGGTTCTAACTTCTTTTGGGTTCAATTAATTTGCTAGAGCAGCTCACAGAACTCAGAGGAAATGTCACTTACTACTAAAAGGATATAACTCAGGAATAGCTAGGTGGAAGAGATGCATAGGGGATGTTATGGGGAAGGGGTGCGGAACTTTCATGCCCTCTCCAGGTGTGCCAGTGTCCTCGCATCTCCATATGTTACCAACCCAGAAGCTCTACAAATCCTGTCCTTTTGGATTAAAAAACAATTTTTTTTTTTTAATGTTTATTTATTTTTGAGAGAGAGAGAGGCAGAGCACGGCCAGGGGAAGGGCATAGAGAGAGAGAGACACAGGATCTGAAGCAGGCTCCAGGCTCAGCACAGAGCCTAATGCAGGACTCAGTCCAGGGCTCAAACTCAAAGCCGCAAAATCATGACCTGAGCCGAAGTCAGGCGCTTAACCAACTGAGCCACCCAGGTGCCCCATGTCCTTTTGGATTTTTATGGAGGCTTCATTACATAGGCATGAGTGATTAATCATTGGCCATTGGTGATTGATTCAACCTCTAGAACCTCTCCTCTCCCCAGAAGGTCAGGGCGTGAGACTGAAAGTTCCAACACTCAAATCACAAGGTTGGCTCCTTTAGCAACCAGTCCCCATCCTTAAGTACTTTCCGAAAGTTACCTCATTAACATAACAAAAGACACCCTTATCACTCTTAACAGTTCGGAAATTCTAAGGGTTCAGGTTGCTGTGAGCTAGGGACTGTGGATGAAGACCAAATATAGATGAGAAATATATATTTGGCCATCTTATAAACCACAGTGTTGCACCTTCGAAAACTACGGAGTTAGAGAGGCATCTTGGAGATTATTCCAACCCCTTTATAGAGGAGCAAGCTAGAGATCAGGAAGGTTGTGTGTTCTTTTTCACAGCCCGTTACTGGCAAAGTTGGAACTAGAACCCACATTCACTGACATTTAGCACACATTTCTTAAAATGCCATTATATGGGAAACAATGCTAGGCATTCAAAAATAATTGTAGATTGTCAGGACCATTAGTTTCAAATCAAATTTAATCAGGAACTCACTGTGAATTACATTCTCTTGTACTCTGGTGATTGATTCTGATACCTTAATCTAGCCATATAACTATTATAATTTGAATTCACTTCTCTGTGTCCATTTGAGCAACAGGTAGGCTGTCACAAACAAGGCTATGTCATTCCCAGTTTAAGTGCCTGGCATTTTTTTTTAGGGGGAAAAAAATCCCTCTCCCTTTTTTACCTTATGGTAGCAGTGGTTCTGGAACTTGAGATCATCAGGCAGACAATAAGATGAGAAAACCTTGTTTGACAGATTGTTTTGTTACAGCATTGTAAGTTCGTTGAAAATTAAATGCCACTTTATACCTCTAAATCTTTGTAACATGCTTACGTGTGAGCTATGATATACTAGACAGAAGTCATTTTTCTCTCTTAAAAGGCTATTGTGAGCTCTATGTTAAATATAGCATCAGCATAGCAGACATATTACTTTTTATAATATTTATATTCTATTTCCTGTAAAATTTTCTATCCTGTTTCCAGGTTTAATTTACGTAATTGGGGGCATCAGCAATGAAGGAATAGAGCTTCGTTCTTTTGAAGTATATGATCCACTTTCTAAGCGTTGGTCTCCACTTCCTCCAATGGGAACCAGGAGAGCATATCTTGGAGTGGCTGCACTTAATGATTGTATCTATTCTGTTGGAGGATGGAATGAGACACAAGATGCTCTTCATACTGTAGAAAAATATTCCTTCGAAGAGGTAGGGTGGATGATTTCAGTGTTTAATATCCTATTATTTTTTTAGTGTCTATAAGATCTGTAGTGATATGCACTTTTTCATTCATGATATTGATCATCTGTAGGTTTTTTTTTTTTATTTTCAAAGAACCAACTTTGGTGTCATAGATTTTTTTTTCTATTGATTGCCCATCTTCTATTTCATTGATTTCTGTTTCTATTTTTTTCTTCTGTTTTGTTTTTTTTTTTTTTTTGGTTTAATTTGCACGTTTTTCTAGATTCTTTAAGTAGAAGCTTAAATGATTGATTTTAGACTTTCCTTTTTTTATATTGTAAATGTTTAAAACTATATTTTCAAGTCCTGCTTTAAGTGGCTCCCACACATTTTGATATGTTGTATTTTAATTAGCACTTATCTTGAAATACCTTCTAATTTCCCTGGCAATTTTTTTTTGACCAGTGAATTGTTAGAAGTATGTTATTTGATTTCCAAATACTTGGCAATTTTCCAGATCTTTGTGTTACTGATTTCTAATTTAATTCCATTATGATCAGAGAGCATACTTTATATGATTTCTGTCTTGGTAAATGTTTTGTGTCCACCTGAAAGGAATTTGTATTCTACTCTTTAGTGTTCTATAAATGTCAATTAAGTCAAGTTGGTTAGTGTTATTCGAGTCTTCCCTAGTCTTTTCTTTTCAACTTGTCCAATTGTTTTGTCAACTATTAAGAAAAGTATTGAAATCTCCAAGTGTAATTATGGATTTGTCTGTTTCTCCTTTCATTTCTGTCAGGTTTTACCTCAAATGTAGGAGTCAAGAGCAGGCCGCACTAAAATGTACCACTTTGGCATATTATTTTAAATAAAAGTTACTTATGAGACCACTTGTGCAAGAAGGATATTCAGACCCTCCTTTCTCCCCCTAAAAGCAGGAAATAAATCTCTCACTTGAAAGGTACCTTTCCTGTACCAGGAAATAAAGAGGTATCACCAGAGATGGGAAATGTAGAGCCAAGAAGGGTGTATAAACAGCCCTTATTATTTTTGTTTTTACTAGTTTACTCTCAGGGGGCTCCTGGGTGGCTCAGTCAGTTGAACATCTGACTTCAGCTCAGGTCATGATCTTATGGTTCATGAGTTTGAGCCCCACATCGGGATGTCAGCGCAGGGCCTGCTTTGGATCTCCTGTCCCCCTGTCTCTCTGCCCCTCCCTGACTTGGTCTCTCCCTCTGCCCCTGTCTCTCTCTCTCTCAAAATTAAATAAACATTAAAAAAAAAAAAACCTAATTTACTGTCAGAACCCAAATTCTTTTTACAATTCCTTACTAATTGAAGCTCCAAAAGTTAATTTTACTTTGTCCTGTCAATCCCCCACAGATTTATTCTCTCTTTGTTTAAAACGTATAAAAACCACCTGCCTTTGTCACTTTTTTAGGTCTCAATTACATTATTGGGCCTTTGTGCGCAAGTAATAAAACTTTTTTTCTCTTGTTAATCTGTCTCATGTAAATTTAATTCTTAGTCCAGCTGGAAGACCTTAAGGGTAAAGGAGGAATTTTCCCTTCCCTGCACATATTTTGAATCTCTGTTATTAAGTGTGTACAGGTTGGGATTATTATGTCTTCTTGATGAAATTGATCCTTTCATAGTCATGAAATATTTGTTTTTATCTTTGGTATTATGTTTTGTTCTGAAGTCTACTTTGTCTGATATTAATATAATCATTGATGTGGCCAAGCTATCTTTTGACTATTATTTGCATGGTACATCTTTTTCTTTCCTTCTACTTTAAATCTATCTATATCTTTACAAGTTGCATCTCTTGTAAGGTAACATACAGTTGTAGTAGTCTCTTTTTTTATTTATTTTTTAAGTTTATTTACTTAGAGAGCAAGCAGGGGAGGGGCAGAGAGAGAAGGAGAGAGAGAATCCCAAGCAGGTTCCTTACGGTTAGCACAGAGCCCAGTGCGGGGCTCAAACTCCCAAACTGTGAGATCTATGACCTGAGCCAAAACCAAGAGTCAGATGCTTAACCAACTAAGTCACCCAGGTGACCCAGTTGTAGTCTCTTTGTAATCCAGTTTGACAGTTTCTTGCCTTTCAAATGGAGTCTTTAGAGTTTTTACTATTTATATGTAATGTAATTACAAATATGATTGGTTTCTAGACTCCTGTTTTGCTGTTTTCTATTTCTACAATTCTTTCTTTCATTTTTCCCTCCTCTTTTCTGTCTTTATGTCAATTGTTTTAGTATTCTATTTGATCTCTTTTGTCCAATTAACTATAACTCTTCACCTTTTTCTTAGTGGTTATTGTAGGGTTTATATTATGTATTATACATATTTATACTATATATATATATGTATGTATGATCAAGGCTACCTTTGCATTATATCATACCACTTTCTTTTTTTTTTTATTTAAACCACTTCTTTTTTGTTTTAACTTTTTTTTTAAATGTTTATTGATCTTTGAGAGAGACAGAGTGCGAGCTGGGGAGGGACAGAGAGAGAGGGGAGACACAGAATCTGAAGCAGGCTCTAGGCTCTGAGCTGTCAGCACAGAGACTGACATGAGTTTGGAACTCATGAACCATGAGATCATGACCTGAGCTGAAGTTGGATGCTAAACAAACTGAGCCACCCAGGCACCCCTAAAAGTTTTTTTTAATTCAAGTATATTGACACCCCAAACCACTTCACTTTGAATGTCAGAAACTTACAAAAATATACTTTCATTTTCCCATTTTCCATTCTTTGTGCTTTTGTTATACATTTTACTTCTACATATGTTGTAAACCCCACAATACCTTTTGTTATATTTGCTTTAAAAAGTTATATTTAACATAAAATTTTAATGTGAAAGTCTTTTATAATTATGTATATATTTATCATTCCTAGTTTTATTCTTTTCTATAGAACTAAGTTTTCATCTCATAACATTTTGTGTTAGCATGAAGAACTAACTTCTCTTTAATATTTCTTTTAGTGTTGGTCTGCTGGCGTTGATTCACTCTCTGTTCATTTTCTGAACGGTTTTCTTTTGCCTTCATTTTTTGAAAGATATATATTTTTTTCTTTTTTTAATGTTTATTTTTGAGAAAGAGGGAGACAGAGCACGAGCAGCAGAGGGACAGAGAAAGAGGGAGACACAGAATCTGAAGCAGGCTCCAGGCTCTGAGCTGTCAGCACAGACCCCGATGTGGGGCTGGAACTCACAAGCCATGAGATCATGACCTGAGTCAGATGCTTAACTGACTGAGCCACCCAGGTGCCCCAAAAGATATTTTACTGAGCACAGAATTTTATGGGTTTTTTTTTCCCCCGTTGCTTAAAAGGCGTTGTTTATCTTCTTGCACTGTTTCTGATGGGAAGTCAGTAGTAATTCTTATCCTTGTTCCTTTGTACGTGTCTTTTTTTCTTTGGAGGCTTTTACAATTTTCTCTTTATCATAGGTTTCCAGTATTTGATTATGGTGTGTCCTGTTGGAGTTTTGTGTTTAATCTGCTTGGAATTCACTGAACTCCTTGAATTTGTAGGATTATAGCTTTCATCAAATTAAATGTTTTCAGCCATATTTCCTTAGATTTTCTTAGATTTTCTGAGACTCCAATAACATGCCCAGGTCCTACAGGTTACTGAGATTCTGTTAATTTTTCCGCATCTTTTCTCTCTCTGTGCTTCAGTTTTGTTTTCTGTTTTTTGTTTTGTTTTTTTGCTATACAGCTTCACTGAGGCATACTTGATAAAAATTGTATAGATTTAAGGTGTATAATTTGATGTTTTGATATACATTATGAAATGATTACCAAATCAAACTGATTAGCATATTCATCACATCACAGTTTCCTTTTCTTTTTTTTTCCATTTTACTAAAGTCTGTATTAGTCATTCTAATTTTTATTTAATTTTTTTTTAATGTTTATTTATTTTTGAGAGAGAGAGGGAGACCCAGACTATGAAGCAGGCTCCAGGCTCTGAGCTGTCAGCACAGAGCCTGATGTGGGCTCAAACTCACAAACTGTGAGATCATGACCTGAGCCAAAGTCGGATGCTCAATCCACTGAGCCACCCAGGCGCCCCTCTAATTTTTTTTTAATCCCAGTATTGTTAACATACAGTGTTATATTAGTTTCAGGTTCTCTTTTCCTTTTTTTGTGTGTGGTGAGAGTACTTAAGATCTGCTTTCTTACCAAATTTCAAGTATACAGTATAGTATTATTAACTATAGTCACCATGCTATATGTTAGATCTTTAGAACTTATCCTGTATAAGTGAAACTTTGTGCTTCAGTTTGGATAGTTACTCTTGCTGTGTTTTCAAGTTTATTAATCTATATTGACTTCTAATATGCAGTGTCTAATTCCATTTAAGGAATTTTTCACTTCAAATATATTTTTAGCTCTAAAAGATATTTTTGGTTTTTTTTTTTATGTCTTCCATTTCTCTCATCATGTCCATGTTTTCCTTTAGATCCTTGAACATATTTATAACATCTGTTTTGAAGTCCTTGTCTGCTGATTCCATTATTATCATCACTTTTGGACCTGTGTCTGTTGAAATTTTTTCTTTCTGGTTTGAGTCACATTCTTCCTGCTTTTCCACATTTTTAGTAACTGTCGTTTGGATGGTGGACACTGTGAATGTTATATTGCTCAGTGTTTGGATTTTATTTTCTTCTTTTAACTGTTGATAAACAGTTACATCATTGGCAAATCAGATTGATTCTTTTGAAAAATGTTCTTAAGCTTTGTAGGGAAGGTCTAGAGTAGTCTTTCTTGTAGGTCTCCTTCTAAAGAATGACCCTTCTTGAGTCTCTGCTAATGTCCTAGGTATTCAGCAAGGTTTCTTTATTTTGGCTACTCAAAACTAGAATGTCCTCTAGCCTTGTGTGAGCTCTGGGAATTGTTCAGCTTACACCTCCTATCAAGGAAAACAGTTTTTGTTGTCACAATATTTTTGACACAAAATGTGTAGGTATTCCATACCAAACTGTTCTCTAGTTCTTGATAGACAGCAACT